GTTACTACTAGTAAGGCACCTGTTACTACTAGCGTGGCACTTGTTTCTAGTGCTCCTTGGTTTTGATTGAGTTCTGCTGATTTTGTGTTTTTTGTACAAACACATGGGATAACATTGGATGTGCCTCAGGCCCATTGAATGCAACACCCTCTTTCATGAGCGGGACGTCTTCAAGCCATACGTCGTACAGCAGGCGATCGCACAACCTGGTCCCCGGCGTGGGAGGGTCAAAGAAAGGCTTCCTAAGCAGCTTCCGAAGGGGAGGGAATGGAAGGGGCGCAAGCGGGCGCAAGGGGTCAAAATGGGGACGATGGATCTTGCGCAATTGGGTCAGCGAGTGGAGGGATTGATCGTGGAATTTGATGGCGAGCAATATCTGTGAGACCTGGTCTCACTCTGCGAGCAAGTAGAATCTGGTGACGGGATGCGGACCATCTTTGGTTACTAAATTGTTACTAGTAGCGTCCTTGCTACTTATGGCGATGCACTTGTTACTAGTAGCGATGCCCCTGCTACTAGATGTGTCAGGCTGGCGTTAGCCTTGGTGAACTCCTTCTGTGGCTTTTGGCCACCATTGCGCTGGGATTTGTCGGGGGGCCGAGAATGGGTGCCACTTTGCACAGCCCAAAGTCGGACAGGATTGAGGCTTTCTATCCCGTCAAGCTCTTTTTGGGGACGGAAGACCTTCAAAACCGAAAAGTCGCCTAGGACAATTTAAAGGATCAACTCGTATCAAGAATTAAAGAAGCTAAAAATCAGTTGATCTTCCTCCTTTTCCCTGTACAACATTTATCAAAATGTTGAATCATTCGATATTAAGTTTCCATCAGGACAAGTAAAGACTTCGATAGGTGATGTTGCCATGTCCAAACGCCTTTGGCACTGTTTAGTGGTAAGATGTGGAAAGTGCAGCGGAGTTTGCAACGCGAGCTACTAGTAACAAGTGCCTTACTACTAGGAACAAGGACGCTACTAGGGGCTCCTGGCCTTACTAGGAACAAGAAGCTTCTAGGGGCTCCTGGCCTTACTACTAGGAGCAAGGACGCTACTAGGAGCAAAGCGCCGGTTTTGGTAGCGCATCGGATGTCGTGAGATGTCGCGGGATCGTGCTCTCCGGGCTTTGACAGTGCAAAACCGCTGCGTTTCTTATTACTAGTAGCGATGCCCTTTGCTCCTAGTAGCGTCCTTGCTCCTAGTAGTAATGCCAGGAGCCCCTAGTAGCGTTCTTGTTCCTAGTTCCGTGGAGATACTGCGCACTGCGCGCAAATGTGTTATAAGTGCTCCAAGGCACGGATATGTTGCACACGTGCTCATAAAAGGTCTTGCTAAGCAAAGCAAATTTCTTGCCGGGTACTACTACTACGACGACTACTACTACTACTGCCACCACGCCCTCTCCTACGACTTTTTTGGTGGCTACGACTACAACTACTACTCCGACTACTACTACCACTGTTGGGATTGCTGCTAGCGCCACCACTTTCACCACCACCACCACTAGCACAGCCACTAATCTTCTGAACACTTATTGGGGTCTCTTGCCGGGATAATTGTGTTAAGTGGCGTATTTGTTTTGAATAAGTACTCGGTATGCTTGATGTGTTTGCTTCGATTTTCTTCCGCTCAGTGGATGTCACTACTTCGGCCTACATGTGACGTCCACAGTTCTAAGGTTTGCATGTCCTTGTACAAGCGCGGAGCCACAGCACGAATGACGCAACGTGCTTTACGATCGTTTGTCGATGTGTCAAGAATTTGTTGCCAGGCGGTACTTGAAGAAAGAGATGCGGACAACACTTCGAGAAGAGGCACCGCCCTGAAATGCGTCAAACGAGAAGTCAGAACCAGGTTTTAGCGTTTCGCCTGCTCAGGTGATGTTAGAAGTGCAGGCACAGATGGGCGAGTACGCGCAGCTTCGGGGTGCATAATGCCGTGCGGCGATGCAGTAAACCCCCCGCAAAACGAACCCGAGCCAAGCCTAGCGCATAGCCTAGCTGCGACGTGTGGGCGTGTGAGCAGCGTCTGCTGCGGAGCCACCAGACCGGCCCACCGGCCTGGGCTTCGGCCCCGTGGCGTCGTCCAAAAAGTGCGGCCTCGGGTAGAGGACGCTACGAACGGGGCTCCTGGCACTAGGAACAAGAACGCTATTAGAAACAAGAAATAGAATTAGAATCCTTATTTAGAATTTAGTTTGAATTTAAATGGAATTTAATGGCCTCCAACCTATTTGCGATGGCCTCCATCCTACTATAGCGATGGTCTCCTACAAAGGTCTTGCTTTTAATTTGTTTTTCGTCGGAGCTGACATTTTGTGCATAAACTTTGCGTTGTGCAAATGCGTGTCTCGGTTCTCAAGCAGACACCACAAATAGATCTCATGAGAAGTTGATGCTTCGAGACCTCTCCACCAGCCACCCACCAACACATTTAGTTTTGTTTTGGATGGCTTAGCGACCATGTTCCTCAGACTGAATTGGTGGAGAGTCTTCCGTGGAGAGAGCCGGCCACGGCGGCGGTCCACTGCCATGTCGCAGCCAGGCAACAAACACGTCGCCACGTGTTTTGGCGACGCGTTTTTGGGCGCCTCGAGTCGAAAGCTGTGTGCGTTCCTGGCTGTGACAGGTGATGCGATGGTGCTCTTTAGGCAGGGTGCGAATGAGTTCGATCAAGATGATTAAAATATACATTGGAGCCATAGGCATAGATGCCGGAAGTCATTTGAGTTCAGCTA